AGGTTATATGTATGTATAGTGTATACATAGGAAATACTCTGCTAATAGTTTACGCAGGATCAGCGTTTATTTCAAAAAACAAAAAAAAATGTTAAACGATTTTTCAACTGGGGAAAGCTTAAATTTTAATTAAAATGGAAATTGTAGACATGGAAAAATTTTTGTAGAGAAAAAGTCAAAAATTTCGAAGTTATATATCGAATAATTGAAATCGTTTGATCCCATGAGAATTATAACACTCATTAATAATTTAAATAAACTTCACTAATATCACTGGTTTACAGTGAAAATGGTCCACGGTTGCCACTATTCCTATGTAGAATTGCTCGCTGAATTAGTGGTCAAATGAAAATGCGCACAGATTTTTCATATGAAAAATTTGCAGGAAAAAATGTTGCTCATACGCCATGTAAACAAAATAGTTACATAATATTTCCTTTTTATTTATCAATCGAATTTCTTCATTCCTAGCACGTTTTTTTTTTAATAGATCAGGATTTTACACAAGTAAAAAATTTTCGTAAAATTCATTATTTTCTTAGTTACCATGTTAAAGTCTGAATTTTCAACTTTCCCATCAAAAAAAATAAATAAATAAAAATTTGGAATGATAAATTATTTTCTCAGAAACTATCAGACCTATAGAAAAGTAGTGTATATATGGTTTATGGAGAATTTTGTTGGCTTCTTTTGCTATATCTCGTATTACGATTCTTCAATTTGTTCGTAAGATATACGTAGTGAAGTGGAACCACTTTTTTTCGCAAACCTATCCAGAAATTTTCTAGATTTTTTGAAATCAGATTTTTATTTTTATATCGTTACAAAAACGAGGTATTTTTTTCGTATACATTTATCATCAAATTTTTACTATATCGGTTAAAAAAAAAAAACGTTTAATTTGGATTTAAATTTGTTCGATCCTTTTAAATCTTACTTGGTCTAAAAACCTAAATCTGCAAATAACGGTCATAATTCTCCTATGATCCTAAAAATTATGAAAATTATATCGATCAAAAATTTATCGAAAAAATAAATTTCCAGAAAATACAGGGTGTTCTTGAAAGTAAAAAAATAAAAATCATAAAATAACGGTTAAATTTGATCAGAAAAATAGAAATCCAATTTTAACGATTAAATTATAAATTTTATTATAAAAATCATAACCGTTATGGTCCCTGATCGAAACTTATATGATGCGTTTCTTTTTCGAATTTTTGTGTGTTTCTTAGTGCAGCCGCAGAAAAGGAGGACGACCTTCAGTTTAACACCAACAACTGCAGACGTTTTTTCGCGACATACTTTTTCATGGCATAAGTACACTTGAAGGTTTGCCATTGGCTGCAGAGGAGGAAAAAAAAAACTTTTTTAAATTACACGTTAGCCCAAAACTTCTCTACAGGGTGTACTATACAGTCGAATACTGGGCACACCCTCCTTTTGACGCTGTTTACAGCGAATGCCAGCCGCTTGTGCATATTTTCTACACACTGCCATAACTTCACTAAATTGACCCATAAACAACTTGACATATATATATATATATATAGTATAGTGTAAATACCAGTCTAAACAAATAAAATTATTAATTTAAACAAAAAGCCAATGAAGTTCAACTGAGCGACCGCAAATCGTCTGCTGGATTGGCCACTAATCATATTACCTACAGGCTAAGTAAATGTCTAGTTTATTACATACATATGTATATGTATACACAGCTAACTATGAGTGATTGCATTTTGAATTTTTGATGAGCGGGTGTGTGTCCGTCGCTATTGGTAAAACCGCACAAACCAAATGTGTTAAAAGAAAATTAGTGCAAAACAAGTTAAGCTGTTTTACAAGTAAACTACAACTTTTGGTGATTTTATGGACTTGCGTCAAATGGAAAAATAAAACAAAATTATAAGAAAATGCTCAAATTTTTAAAAGAAAAATCTCTAAAATCGATACGCACAGCAAAGCTACATACATATGTGTGTATACAATGGCTTTTGTTCATCTACATTTATAATTGACGTAATAAGTTGTTGTTCAATAAAGTTATATCAGGCTCACCTTGATCATTTAGCAGTTCATCTTCCAATTCTTCGGCACCAAAATTACTTAGTAGTTGTCTATAGTTGAGTATTTCTTTTGCTTCTCCATTATGCTGATAGAATTCTGGCGTATGACCGAGCTATGTAAATAAGTACAGAAATCAAAAGTGTGCATATACATATGTATACACATAAGAAATAAGTTGGTATATGTAAGTTTACAGCTATTAAATTTTGGGTTTTTGACGTAGAATACGTCTTACCTTAAGGTATGGGGGCTATGTTCAAATGTTGTAGTTGTAATTTTTAGAGCTTCACAAAAACGCTTATTGCACGAGAACTAATAAAGCGATTTCAAAGAAAAGTGTGGCGTTTCAAAGATAAAATTCCAAACCTGTCGACAGATTCATTTTTGTAAATAACCAATTCGGTTTCTGTCGTAAAAACAACGGTAAACATTGCCTTATTTTGGGGTCAATTTTGAGCCTTTAAAGTGCTCTAGCAACTTATTGTTGGCATATATAACTTTCATTTTCGGGATATAGGTTCTTTGGAGCAGTAGAAATATTATCGGGTACAAATTTTATATAAATTTAACAAATATTGAGCATTTTAAGGCAAAAAATTGTTGAAAAAATTTGCAAATTTTTTTCATTACCAAAATGCTCGAAAACCGCTCGAATGATTTTGTTTTTGTTTTCTTTAATCAAAAATTCAAGAGTTTTCCTTTCGTTTGGTATATGGGAAGTATTGGTTGATATCTTCTATATATGTTTATTTTATTCAAATATATGGGCATAAATGATTTTCCATACAAAATCACCTCGTCATCATTTTGCAAACACGTGCATATGTTGGAAGTGTGGGAAGGAGACAAAAAGTATGTATGCGTTTGTAATGCGGCTTTTGATAAACAGAGGCGCGCTATTTATAACCTAATCGCAGCGTGTGTACATACATATGTAAATACATACATACGTACATATGTTGATAGCAGTTAATGTGGATCTGTTTCTATTTTTAGTAATCTATGTATGTCTATACATACATATGTACATACATATTATATATGTACATACATATATGAACACATGTATGCATAATACGCGAAGACTTTTCGAAGTGAAACAACATTTAGAAAAAGTCCAATCCAAGAATAAAAGTAAAGGTGAGGACGTACATAGATAAAGAAAAGGATAAAGGCCAAGGTAAAAATAAACACTTTACTTATATGTATAAGTGCAAAGGTGAAGGGGAATATGTATATGAAGAATATGATAAACATAAAAATAAAAACAAAGATAAATATAAAGAAAAAGATGCGGATGAGGATATCGATAAAAGTATAGATGAAGATAGAGGAAGAAAGATTAAAATAAAGGTAGTTGTAGAGAAAAGGATATAGATAAAGGCACAGAGACTCAATCTCGGAACTATTTCGGGATTTTAGGGATTCTCGGGACTTATCGATATAATCGATATTTTGTTGGTTTTTTTATCGATTTTGTTATCGAAATTTTTATCGATATTGTTATTGATTTTGCTATCGATATTTTTGGAACTTATCGATATAATGATCGATATTTTTATCGATTTTGTTATCTCTTTATTATCGATTTTGTTATCGATTTTATTATCGCTTTTGTTATCGATATTTTTATCGATTTTGTTATCGGTATTTTTATTGGTTTTGTTATCGATATTTTTATCGATTTTGTTATCGATTTTGCTAACGATTTTGTTATCGATATTTTTATAGATTTTGTTATCGATATTTTCAGAACTTATCGATATAATGATCGATTTTGTTATTTATTTTGCTATCGATATTTTCACTTATCGATATAATGATCGATAATTTTATCGATTTTGTTATCGACATTTTAATCGATTTTGTCACCGGTTTTGTTATCGATATTTTTATCGATTTTGTTATCGATACCTTCGGAACTTATCGATATAATGATCGATTTTGTTATTTATTTTTCTATCGATATTTTCGGAACTTATCGATATAATAATCGATATTTTTATCGATTTTGTTATCGACACTTTAATCGATTTTGTTATCGATTTTATTATAGATTATTTATCGATTTTGTTATCGATATTTTTATCGATTTTGATAACGATATTTTTATCGTTTTTGCTATCGATATTATAATCGACTTTGTTACCGATATTTTTATCGATTTTGTTGTCGATATTTTTATCGATATTTTTATTGGTTTTGTTACCAATATTTTTATAGATTTTTCTATTGATATTGTTATCGCTTTTGTTATCGATATTTTTATGGGTTTTGTTATCGATTTTGTTATCGATTATTTATCGAGTTTGTTATCGATATTTTCATAGATTTTTTTATTGATATTTTTATTGATTGGATTATCGATATTTTATATCGATTTTGTTATCGATATTTTTTTAGGTTTAGTTGTCGATTTTTTTTATCGATTTTGTCACCGATAGCTTTATCGGTTTTGTTATCGATATTTTTATCAATTTTGTTATCGAAATTTTTATCGATATTGTTACTGATTTTGTTATCGATATTCTCGATTTTTTTATCGATTTTAAAAAAATCGATTTTAAATTTTTTTTCTTAGTGTGTGATTTCGTTTTTGACTTGGATATGCTCTTAACCATACCACGTATTCTACGTTTAAATATAGCGGCTGTATCTCCGATACAGCCTGCAGACCAAGACGAAGGCGCTGGACTGTTCCTTTTTTTAATAAATTTTGGGTTTTTTTAATAATATTTTGTCGCCTACACTTTTGCTCAGTGTTTGGCCGAGCTTCTCATTCAATCCTCGTTATGCGTTCTGATGAAGCGACCTACAAATTTACGCCGCTTTCGAATGGCTTCATGAGAAGCTCCGCGGTGTGCCGTTGCCTGCCAAGGGGCGGCCGCTGTTAGAAAAACTTTTTTTAATTTAAATATCGCTCAGACCAGGGATCGTACCCAGATGCTAAGAGGTGGTAGTGCGCATCATTAACCAATCAGCCATGGCGAACGGCAGATTCAATTGTTTTTTTCTTGCAAAATTTCTATTAGCTAACCTCCACTGCTGAATGTTACTCATACGCCGCGCCCTACTCCGAAAGAAAAACTAAAAACGCAGTTTTACTGTATTGGAGTTAGAGAGTGTATTAATTTTTGTATAAATAAAGTTGACTGTCGCACGCTGTTATATCGTATCTACATTTGTAGACTACCGGCTAAGAGATAGTGATTTTTAATGGAAGTGTTTTGAAGGCCTTGGAAATAATTTTTTTGTTTATTTAAAAGCCAAAATTGTTTATAAATGATTTTTAGGAAGCTACTGAAAACCTCGGGCACGGTTGTAGTGCAAATATTTTATTTATTAAAGATTTTCGGCGAAAATGCTACAAATATAGACTACGGAGCATGCAAATGTGCTCGAAAAACAACAAAATGCTTTAAGTACAGTTTAATGTTTTCTTTTCTTTCTTATTCGGTTTATTTCAAGGATTGAAAAATTACAATGGACAATGAAATATTACTTAATATTCTCAAAAATAAATAGAGATCGGCGCTGCGGCGTTTTAATTTTCCTCCATTTGAGAAAAATTAACCCGTGGGTTTTAAATTTTTGTATCCAAGCAGAAACTCAACTGCACTATCTCAGAATTCGGTTGAGAAATGCCTTATCTCAGCTGTCGATTCAAAAAAGACCTATCTCAGCACATTTTCAATGTATTTTCGTTTGAGATAGGGCGTTTTTGAATAGAATTCTGAGATAGAGCGTTCTTCAACCAAATTCTGAGATAACTTGTTTTGCAATTAAATTCTGAAGTAGGGCGTTCTTGAAAATTTTCCGATATAGGGCATTTTCCAGCAGGCTACCGAGATAGGTCAATCTTCCACTCAGCCATCGATTTGTATATAATTTGGATTTTATATAAGTATGTTTTCAGATTATAGATTAACATTTTTAAATTGTTACAGCCCAAAAGGAGTATTATTTTTTAAATAAATACATTCAGTTCCCCAAACACTGCACTCGGCAAAGATTTGTTGGCAAATGTATTTCAAATTATGCCTATTAAAAAGGTTTGACTGAGTATACTAGGTGTATGGGTAACTAAGACCTCACGCTTGCAAGGATCTATATCGGGTTAATATTCTATTTGATCAGAAAATATTTATTTTTAACGACTTGATGCCAATTCTATGTAAAAATTTATTTTCCTTATAAAAAATCTATGGAAAACTTCAAAGCCAAATTAAAACAATACGTTTCTCACTTGGCATTTCCCATGTGCGTCCGTTGGCACAGAAGAAAAACGACTGGCGTGCTTTGTTGAACTCGGCCAAAATCGCTTAGGCGATTACAGCGCCAAATAATAAGAAGAAGAAGGGTCTCCCTATTTTTGATATTCTTCAGCTCAGGCAGTGACAGCAGAAAAATTCGAAAAAGTTGCTTTGTCCATGTAATTTTGGACTACCCTAGTGTACATATTTATGTACGAGCTTTTGAAATTAATAATTTCAAATTACCATAATTTTGTATAGTCTGAACCTTTTTAAATGTTGTTGATTGCACTTACTATTCAACAAAATTCATACGACACGCAATTACTTTGAATCTATCATTTTCCATGATTATAAACGTAATTATTATCCTCTTGGGATTAAATAGAGTATATATTTCGGCACAACCTACCTTATCCGCTGCTTTGCTATTGGCACCCAGCTGCGTGAGTACGTTATAGAAGTGACCATTATCATTTATAACAGCGGCATAGTGTAGCGCTGTTCGTCCATCGGTGTCGGCGATTGTAGTGGTTTCTGGAAAACGTGCTGCCAAATATCGAACAATATCTGTTGGGAAAAATAAAGAAAACATTTGAGATGAATACTAATACATATGATTGTGTGTGACTTTTGTTGCTGCCTATTAATTTATGTAAATGTATGCATAATGTATGTATGTGGTTGATACAATTATAGAAAATCAATATAAGTAAAAATTTATAATTAGCCTCAAAAGCAGATATTTCCCCATTTTTGGTTGGTTGGCCTTCGGTGTATTTAAAGTAAACACGACACTTTGAAGTCATCGTTTTAATAATTAATTATGAATTTTTTTTAGTTACGAAAAGCACTTAAAAGTCGTATCCATATGTACTTAGAAGTTTTCAATGTGAAAAATATGAAAACCCCAATACTTCATTGGACGAACTAATTGGTTACATTTCGAGGTAAGCGGTCGGTATCAACAAAAAAATAATAATTTAAAAAATTGCGAGTATACCATGTTCATTCAGAACTAAGTAGCGCAACATTAAGTATGCAATGATTGTATCTAAGCTAAGACCTACTTTTCACCCATTAGGTGAGGTTAGGAGGGGGTGTGTGTGGACTTTTACATACTTTTGCTCAGAGGCAGAATTATCAATTATGAGTTACCCCTTTAAGCGGGTGTCAGGATGAGACAGGTAGCCATAATCGAGAGAGTAGCTTCAAGACATTATTCTACTGAACTAATTACTATACTATCCTTAATAAAGCCGAGAAGATCCAACACTTCCACCTTCGCTATCCCGGCCATACAGTTGAAGAAGCGTGAACCCAAGAGCCTGAGGCGCTTCGTCTTTGACTCTTGCTCATACTCATCATGGCAGCTTCTTGAGAGACTGCTTGTTGGTATTCGACACCTTCGATGATGCCAGTAAGAACTTTTACTATAGAGCTATTGAGTTTCAGTATCTCACTCGTCTCTCTCCTACTAAGCCGCAGCCATAATAATAATCTTGTGATCTCACAGTTTTCTCATTTATTCTCGTTTTGTTAGTCGCGCCCACGGTGTATTCATCACTTTTCCTAACGTGATCACTAAAATGGTGGTAGTACGGTGCTATGCGCTTCTTCTATTGGCATCTCTGAACCGCATCTAGCTACCTCATCAGCCGACTCCTTTCCCCCAGCAAAGAGTGACGTTGATACGGCTCAGTGGCGCCAGCGTGATGTGACATTTCAATACAATTCCCAAATCACTATTTTAGATCCTATTGCCTTCAGTGCTGCCTGACTGTCGACAAAAATATTGGCTTTGTCTTCTGGAACTCTACTACTAAGTAAAAGACTAGCCGCCCTCTCTATAGCGTAGATCTCCACTTGGAAGATACTGCTGTCTTTCGAGTAGGCACCGGCTCCGGTTCCTTATTCCATTTTTGAATAGTCTCTGTAGATGGATATACCCCCCTCTTCTACAGTCAGTCTTGCATTTTATTCTTCCCTGGTCGGGAACGTAATACGTAGGTACTTTGGGATTGAGGTCCCAAACAGGCGTAATGTAATCAGTGCTGGTTTCTATAT